CCATCAAAATGATTTTTTCACCCAAATATGACCTCTCCCTCTCCCAGCGGCCAAAACGACCACCCCGCCCCCGCGTTGGGGAATCCTCAACAACGATGTGCCCTGATAAAGTAGCACCGAAGAAACGGTAGCACCAAACTAGCGGAATAGTCGCGCAGTTTTTTGCGGTTCGTTGGCTTTTCAAACTTTCCTTACATTTTAGAATTTTTGAAGTGCAAAACTCACTTAGCTAATCTATTTGAATAATACAGCTCTTATACCAGATTCACCAAGTTACAGGCTTCATCTAATTCTCTGATCCGATCCCTCTAGAATTACCCGTTTTGTGGAGTATAGTTATAAAGTATAGGCGCATTCATTTGGCAACGCGCGCAAAACTTCCAAACATGGCACCTACAGAGAGTTTAATCCATTTTTATCCATTTTTTATAGAATTTATCATGCTTATCAAAGGACGAACATGAATTGTGAAACGAAAGCGACAACTGATGGGTGGACCGAAACCGGTGCAGTGCGCTTAGTTGTCTCGCTAGAAAGCCCTACATATCTTTGATTGTCACATATTTCTATATTTATTCCTAATTTTATCACATAATTTGCCTCAAAGCATCTATCACTTCTGTTCTCCTTCAGGCTTCATTTGTTATCTATTTCGGCTTTTATGCAATGTTATAGGTCTTCAGAGGAACGGTGAGCTATGGGCAAAAGTCCGACTGCACGCGGGACTCGAACCCACACAACCTCATAGCCTTTATGCCATAGCCTCGAAGGATCTGAGGCCTTAGCTCCAATTTGATATTAAGCTATGAATTACATCTGCTCAGAGGCACTAGGTGTGGAACCCATGGGATCAGGTCATCTTCCATCAGTTCAGGATGTAGTTAGGTACAGTCCTGTTTGCTATGGACATTGAGGGAAGTGGGATATCTGAAGTGGGTTTGGGCGTTTGGCGCTTAGCCTTGTTCCTCACCACGTTTGTGGTCATCTGCAGCTGCCACAAGCTAGCCCCGTTCAAGCGTCGCCGTCAAACCATAGCCCTTCCCTAAACACCGCTCCACTCGCTCGCGCGCGGCTCCGAATATCAAACTACATTAATACCGGCCTTGATGGAAAGAAGACGTTGGACTGGCTGAAGCTTCGTACCACACTCATCACAGCGCCAAAACGTATCGCCCGACGTTTTCCCCCTGATGGAACACCCCCACAGGTCTACCGGATTTGGCTCAGAACATCCTAGGCGCGAGCAGAGTAAGTAGCACAGTAAGTATTTATCTAACTCGTCAGATTGATATGCGGGGATATTGCGACCCTGAGGCGACCCTGAGTTAGCCAGATCCTAGTGCTAATGGCGCGCTCCTGACACCTTTCGAAAGGCTTACGTGGTCATCTTGGGTGAACTTGAATGTGCCGAACCACTGGACTGGCTTGTCCCGGGCTTAGAAGCAACGCTGCCCATTCAGGTGAATGCATCATAATATCGTATGGAGCGCACTTGAATGCCTTCAAAATCCTTTGCGGAGTGGCATCAAAATCTCTTTTCGGGAGTGCGCCAGGCATTTGGCTTCCACTCAGGATCGCTGTCACACTTTGACGTCTTCAGTAGACAGCAAACGTGTACATCCGGCATTTCATCCTCTATGCAAGTTCGGTACCCATTTGCTGACCTGTAGGAATGGAAGCCTTGGTTTACTCAAACGAGATTCAAATCAAAGGATCTTGATGTGCCAAGGAATAACTGGCTCACAGGACCACATGTTAGCCACCCAACATAGAGGTGCGCGGCTCGAGAAGGCCACATCGTCGAGCGCTTACGCCCGTGCGCCTGTCCTCACCTTTATACATACGTCTAGGGCTCTCTTTCACCTGAACTCACTGCTCTCGCAGCTACCCCCTTGTTGTCCTCAGATGTGGACTACACACGTAAATTGCCCAATCTCACAGAAAAGAGGGGCAGGTCTGTCTCATGTTATCACAAAGTGATGTCGCATAAACATATATTAACAAGTTTTCATCATGTTAAGAGTTTCGTTGGCACAACCTTACTTCTCGGCCACAGCTTTCCTCGCAGGCTGCCACTTTGCGGCCTTGCGCTCAAACTAGCACTGTATTTCTTAGCTAGTTGACTCGACATCACCGCAAAGTAGAAGTCCTGGACATCACTCTTTTCGTTCGGACCATAGGCAACACTTATTCAGCATTGAATGTGCCTTTGCGAGTAGAACATTTCCGAAAAGCTACTTTCACTTGGTAGTAATGTCTATCTCTTCTGTCTGTTTCTTTACCGCGTTCTTGGATAAATTCTTGTTACATTGTACCTGAAAATACTATTCGACTTTCTGATAGACGGTTGTTTCTTTGGAAGACCACAGAACAGACACAGACACAGGACGACAGACACCAGACACAGACACAGACACAGACCACGGTCACACAGACACATGACACACACACAGACACACACACACACACACACACACACACACACACACACACACACACACACACACACACACACACACACACACACACACACACACACACACACACACACACACACACACACACACACACACACACACACACACACACACACACACACACACACACACACACACACACACACACACACACACACACACACACACACACACACACACACACACACACACACACACACACACACACACACACACACACACACACACACACACACACACACACACACACACACACACACACACACACACACACACACACACACACACACACACACACACACACACACACACACACACACACACACACACACCACACACACACACACACACACACACACACACACACACACACACACACACACACACACACACACACACACACACACACACACACACACACACACACACACACACACACACACACACACACACACACACACACACACACACACACACACACACACACACACACACACACACACACACACACACACACACACACACACACACACACACACACACACACTCCCCATTGCTGTAAAACATACTGCATGAATATAGCCCTTATTGAACGAGGATTTTGATTACAGACAAACTCCGCAACTGCAACTCGTGCGTAATAAAGTCCAAATGTGAATTATGTAGTGACCTACTAGAATTACCCTGTTGGGGGGGAAGCACAGACAAAACACCGCAACCACGTTCTAAGGCAATACCTTTGCCAAATCATTCGTTCATCACAGCGATAGAAGCTACGGGGTTTGAATATTAGACGACAGGTTCTGAGTAACTCGATAGTGAACAAAAAAAGCAGGAAAAAACATTCTAACAGCCCTAAATTGGACCCCATTACGATACCAGTTCATAAGTGCCCAACGGACTCCATGCTCCAACCACTTGACCCCTGTCATCCGCGCCTCGGCTGATTTCTTCGCTGTGCCTTGCTGTTTCGTTTTCCACGAAAAGATGGGCTTTGAAGGCCGGGTCTTGAGGCGGAGTCAGTGGAGGAAGAGAGGCGTCAACCTATAATGCGCTCCCCCTTGACAATTTTTGCCGCGAATCCGGTACAAGGTTATTCGTCGCGGACCACACTACCCTCCCGACATATTTTCATCTTCCACTCCACAGCCCTGCCCACTTCACGGCAACCCGCCCACTTTGAAAAATGGTCCAGATCGGCAAGGTAGAGCCCGATTTGGCAGGTGGGTCTCCCCTGTCACCAGGAACGAAAAACCAGGGAAACTTTGATCGTTGGAACGCACGGCCGAAGCGCTGCCGTGGCGAAGTCTGCATACTGTCTAGCGCTGTGTTTACACTTTACGTCAGCGTTCACGCTGAAACGATATTTATGCGTTTCTAGTAACTGGAAACCGGACTAGGCTCAAAACGCTGACATAACTTATAAACGCAGCCTAACTGAAATACCTACAGTCTGCCATTTCCATTCAGAACTACAAAGCTATAGAAACAATTTTATGAAGGTACGGAGGTACATAAACGTTGTTACTAGGAACAAATACTCGGAAATCTGCAAAAAAAAATGAAAAGAATGCTTCAACGATATGGACTCATGGAGGTTACCTACTGCAAAATAAAAACAAAAAAATAACGATTAACAAGGGATAATGAAGACTTCAAGAAAAACAAGTACAACAATAAAAACAAAATATATGTGAATAAAATATCTGGGATATATCTGGACTGAAAAGGAGAATCACTCAAATCTAACTATTTTGTATCTGCAGTACAATATACACACACATACATTATATAAAACTTCTGGTTATAGTGATTATCACGAAATGCTAAAAGTCAAAAGATAAAGCACTATAAGCCAAATGCATATCACCGGATGAGTTATAGACAGGGTACAGCATCGTGATGTGTGGAATGGTTTTGAAGGTACCACCCTCCCCCCTCCACCTAAATGAGGGTCTTGGTACGAACCCCTCAACACTCACCTACCAATTTCTCTCATTTCCCAGCCCACTTTTTCACCCAAAAATTCACTGTAGAGTGGGCGGGTGGGCAGGCGGTTGGGAGGGGGTAGATAGCACACATGAAACAGGAAAAATCACGCGAAAAGTCAACAACCAGGAAAAAATTTTCCCAACACAGCAAATTTCTCTTAAGCCACATACGACCCCCCCTCTCCCAACGACCAAATACGACCCCCCCCCCTTATGTGTTTGACACAACGATGCTGTACCCTGGTTATAGAGTACGAGACTGAGCAAATCAATGGTTAGGAGAGTAAGCAGTATATTTCAAGATTTTCGAGTGAAGTAGCATATTAAGATTCCTGAGTTGAGCCAGAAACTTTAGAAGGTGCTAGCAAACCTGCCATGCTTGTATAATCACGTATGCTCATTCTGTGATATTTAGAAAGATGAACAGCAAATCGAGCTCTCGCCGCAAACGACATGTCGCATGAATTGCAGCGATACGGTGTTATTCCTAAAATATCACATTGCTGTTTGAGAGCCTGGAAAATAGTTGGTGCCTCAATACAGGCATAGTTTCCGAAAAACAGAAGAAACATGAGACGGACGTCATGTAGCAGCAAGTGACAGGCTTGTCACATCCGAGGATCAAATCCCGAGTCGGCTCTCGCTGCTCTTTTACTTCCCATAAAGAACATACCTTTGTGGTAATTCATGTGATCCTCTAGTAGACCAGGAGTAGTGAAAGCCTTTTCACACCCTTCCCAACTGCATACATTCTTCCTCGTCCTTCTATATTGAGAGTACGCTTTGTCGTGTACCTAAAACCGCATCCTTTGCATATTGAAGGGAGGGAAGTTCACAGGAAAAGGAAAGTAACAACTTGGTCATATTATATTACTAGGTATATTGGATTACTGGGTGCTACAGCATCATGAGAAAAGCCACCGGAACGCTGGGATAAAATGTCCGCGGCGCACTCATACTGGACACGCCCCTTCACCCGCACCGAACTAGAGTATACAGCTGATATCGCCGAATCAGTCGGGGCGGTGTTAGAAGACAAGGAATGAACCCACCCACAGCGCCTTCTATAGTTGGAAGGAAAGTCTTGTCACTGTTGTGACTTTTTTCTTTTTTATTTTCTAACTCAATATACAGTGGGAATTAGTCAACAATATACTCGTCATAGTTAGCCACTACAGTGCTCCACCCAATGGACAGGTAAGCATTCCCCTCCTCCCAGAACTGAGAAGGCTGCGAGTAGAGTAAGTCAGCGCCCTCTCGACTGATGTCATCAAAGTTGCTGAAAGTTTTCATAGATAAGAAGGCCTTAAGAAGGTGGAGCAGGTAGCAGTCGTAGGGGACTACGTCAGGAGAGTACGATGAGCGGGGTTTGGTCTCCCAGCCTTGCTCCTCAATTATTTGGTAGGTCTTCATAGCAGGTATGGGGTCTCGTGTACTACGAACGAGGTGACCCGAAGCTAGTCTTGGTCATTTTTCTTCAACGATTCTCACTCGTTTCGGGACAAATGGTAGCGGTGACCGTCCGTTCTTGCAGCGCAGCTCCTCGCGTCCCAGGAGCAGCACAGGAGAACCTTCTTGGAATACATGCCCGGTTTGGACTGCTAGAATGGATCTTCTCCTTGAGAGAGACACACGGTACTGTGTGGGTTGAAATCACAGAGGACCCATCTGTCATCTCCACTAAGCAGTCTCCCAGAAACACCTTTGGCCAGGGCGGAGAAGGGTAGACTGACCGAGGGGTGCCCGGGAAATGAGTGATCATCGAGAACTTTTCGGTAATCAAGAATCACGGTAATCAGGTCGGCTGACTTCCATCCAGCGGAAAAAATATTGTCCCCCAGATATTTAGCCAGGCCCGATAGCTACTCTTTTTTCCTGATATTGTAGCAGGACCGCATACAGTCAAGTAGTCATAAAATCCTGCTGTTATTCGAACTGATGCACTTTCCGCTTACACGTTGACCGCTGCGAATTCTAGAAAAGATGAAGAAACTAATTGGACACAGTACTATCCCATCCGACCGCCTCTCACATCTGACACTGTTTTTTTTTGTCATTTTAAAAATCAGTAACGTATTACTTACACTACGTATGTGCCTCTTCAAAAGATATGGATTCCGATAGTATTTTCCACACAGAGCGCACTGCATACCTAAAGACGAAAGAGAATTATATACGAAATACTACACATTCCTTTACGGATCATACTATTAGGTTGTCCGGAAAGTTCTCAGCGTTTTGTGTTACTATTTTTTGTACATTCATTGCTGATTAAAAACTCATTCTCCCTTGCGTCTCAGTAGTACATCCTGAAGAGAATTTTTTGCGCTATCTGATGGTATAATTGCCGTTTCACCATTGCTTAAACCCCTTTTCCCAAGACTTTTTGAAGCATGTCAAAAGAGCAACTTCGGACGATATTTTTCTTCAACTACAAATTGGGTCAATCCGCAGTCGAGACAGCTCGACAAATTAACCAGGTGTGGGGGCCCAATAGTGTTGGAGAAAGCACCGTGCGACAATGGTTCGACAAATTTCGTTCTGGAGATTTCAGCCTTGAAGATGAACCTCGTAGCGGTCGACCTAAAGCAATACCTGACGAGGATTTGAAGGCGTTTGTGGAGGCTGACCCATCCCAAACAGTTCGAGAGATTGCAGAAAAGCTAGGCGTTGGCAAATCCACTGTTGCGGATGGTCTGAAACGCATTGGGAAGGTGAAAACTCGACAAGTGGGTGCCCCACAATTTGAGTGACCGGCAGAAATTGGCACGTCTCGAGGTTTCTTCTTCACTGCTTTTGCGCAACAGAAACGACCCGTTTTTGGACCGAATTGTCACCTGTGATGAAAAGTGGATCATGTATGATAACAGGAGACGTTCCGGACAGTGGTTGGATGCCGACGAACCACCGAGGCAATTTCCAAAGCCGAATCCTCACGAAAAAAAGATTATGGTCACAGTGTGGTGGTCATCGGCTGGTGTGATCCACTATAACTTTTTATCACCAGGCCAAACCATCACAGCAGAACCCTACTGTGAAGAAATCGACGAAATGTACCGAAAATTGCGTCAGCTGCAGCCAGCACTTGTCAACAGAAAGGGTCCGATTCTTCTGCATGACAACGCCCGCCCACACGTTTCACAAGTCACTATCCATAAATTGAACGAATATGTATTTAAAGTTAACCTCACCGCATATTTCTACACCCATTCATAACGACTACCACCTTTTCAAAATTTTCAGAAAACTTTCTTGCTGAAAATACATAATGTAGGACTCGGAATAAAAAGCCTTCGTGGATTCGTAGATTCTCGACCACCCAGTTTTTTTTGATGGGATTTATCGACTGGTGTCACATTGGCAAAAGTGTGCTGATTCGAACGGTGCTTATTTCGATTAAATCCGATGAGTATTAAGAAAGTTATGATCGTTTAAAGTGAAACACTCAAAACGCTGAGAACTTTCCGGACAACCTAATAGAAGGACTGAATAGTATCAGTCAACTTCAGTATAGTCAGTATCAGTATAAACAACTGACCAACACCATTCCCTTTCAGTTTTCCAAACGAAGGTTTCTCAGGGACATCAAGCTCATCGCAATCTGAAGGCAGATCGTCTGAATTGTTTGACGTTGACACACATTCTGATACCGATGCCGTTGTACAACTAGCCAACCGTCTGGTCACGGATACCGGCACTGAAGAGCCTGAAGGAAAATTCTTACTCCACTCATACCATAAATGCTATAAAGACGTAAGGACCAGACTCGCAACACATTATCTTCCTCACTGGCGCCTCCTCCTCGTACTACGGTCAAGGGGGCGACACATCACTGACCAAGAAGAAAAAATTGTAAATCTCCAAACATCCTACCCGCGTTATCTTTAACGTTCCACAAATTCAAGAGGAAAGCTATACAGCCTCTGCCCACTTATCTGCGGCCCCTTGCCTTCTATGATGATTTATCAAGTTCTATCGGATGACGGAAAAAGAAATAACAGAAGGCGATGTTTTGTGGGTCAAAAGTCGTAGATTCAATAAACTCTATACGGATAGACCAATGACGTGAATGAAGTACCTATGCTCTATCTAAAGTGTGACTGAAAGCCAACTTACAACTCGTTTCCTCAAATTCTCGGGCACTGGCGATTTCTTCCTGAGGACTACCGTCACATTCTCCCGTGAACCGAACGCAAGTGATTATCCAGATCACCCAGCAAAATGTAAAGAGTGCAATCCGGCATTGGGCACAGTATTCCTCTTTCGTGAACACTGCAAACAATGTGAAAAATAGATGAAACAGTACCAACTGAAAAAAATACCCACTTCATCAAATGTGCATTGAAATCTTCCAAATCATTCGTGATGAAGTCACAATGAGAGCATGTGAAGCATGAATCGTCTTCAGCCAAGGAAACTTTTGAATGCACGTCACGTGGACATGAGGACGGTATCCTTTCTGGGTGCATGGTTTGCAAGTGATGTCTGCAATGTCCAAATATTGAAAGGATAAGCTTCCCCTGGTAATAAGCCGTACCTTAAGCGCCTCCTTGCAACGCGCATATTGCAGCCGGCCACAGTACAAGCGACACCTTTTTCATGGTTAGAGACAGTATGCTTTCGAACTTCGGCAAGTATCTGAACTCAAGAGCTTTACCAGGAACAAACAGTCAGGCACAGCTCATGTCTGCGACCTTGAACAACCGGAAAACAGTCGAGGAGAGGTTCATTCGGACCGAAAAATCGAAGAATGGAAGAAGGGGAATATTAAAGGCAGTGGGCACAATGGCAGACGTTATTGGTAATATGGGGTATGGCCAAACACCCTCTCGCAGCTCTACCACCAATGACGCCAGCAACTACCGCTCGCCTCCAGAAGTCCTGCCCACTGCCTCTGAACTTTTGGCAAACCGGCGAAAAAATGCTAGATACGTATTCAGTTCGAATTCGGTTGGAATCGGAATATCGCTGATCAACTGTCTGAATCTCCAAATTCACAGACTGTGAGCAGTGCCTTATTGACCTCGACATCAACAGGAAGAATTCTACTGACCTTATTAGAAAACTGGCAATACTGACAACGATGAACTGTCGGGTGTTCTTTTGCGGCATGCGCACGCAGTTCTGAGTATTCGTCGAACTTTTTCCCACATTTTGAGCACGAGTGTGAGCCTTAAGGAGAAAAGTATTAAAAAGCTCACCATAAATCAATCCTTTGTGGGCTGCAGCACGCATTCTATAATACTAGCATTCAAAAGCGTAGTGGCTCATTGGGTAGTGGCCTATACAAGGACTTGCGAGGGCCAGCCGATGATTCCGTCAGTGTTCTTATCCTCCCAGACGAATCCGGTACCTTTACAGCCCCCGGAGAGTAGAAGGGTTGGTTGGCCTAGATTCGATCCGAGATTTGAATAGAGGACCACGCGGGCAGTGAGTGTGCCGCTTGTCTTTACATAAACTCCGCTCAAAGAAGCAGAAACTACGAAAAAAGGATTATACTTCGATGCTAGAACCGCTGGGAGGAAGGAAGACCGCGGCCTTTCTTGTCGTCAGCGCTCCCCAAGGCGAGACGTGTTGAGAGTAGGGAATCACTGCCCTAGTGAGAGGATGCAGACGAACCCCGGTGCCCATGTCTGTCTCCCACCTAGCTTCATTAAACCAATAAATCAACAAAACACACTAACGCACCACTATGTTTGTTGTGAATGTGACGTTTGATCTTGCTGGGAAATGGAGCAGAATATGTGCAGTGAGGACAGCTGAAACAAATAATAGGCAATATTAAAACCTCGAAAAAAGGCATATTCAGCGGAGCTCACCGATATTTGTTTGCTGAATCACGTGTACGCCGCTTAGCGTCCTCTGCGAGAATTGCTTTTCTCTCCTTGGTACCAACTTTGGGCAGAACACGACGGGGCTGGCTAACTTTTCTTTGAGTCTGACTACTCCGTATCGTTGCTTAATAAAATAAATTAATCTCTGTTGTAAGACTATTAGATTGTGGAACAGCCCAATCCCACTTCCCCAACAAATTGGAAGGAATCTGTAATACTAACCTGTGCACGAGATGTTAAGTGACCCAGTGTTCTTCGAATTTGCTTCCTTTTCTTCTGAGCCATTTGACTGGTCTGCATCAGCTCTTGTGTTCTTTCGCCCAACGATGTCTGAGCTGTTCCTCGAGATCTCAGGGGAGGTCTGCCGTGATGATTGTCGGGAAACCCTTTCCGGCGATGATATTGAGTCACTTGAGACCACACCACTTGAGTGCGGCTGGAGCAAGTGTACTTTCGCACGCGTGGCTGACATCAGTACTACAAGTGTTACAAGAAGACGGTGCTGCGTCAGGACGTTTACAACACCTTTGGCCATTCTGCGCAAGTCCGAAGCCAATGTCATTACAATTCGGATCTTCAAATGGACGTCCCTTGATAGGTGAGTTCGGCCATGATCGATTCACACTAGTGCTCTTCTTCTGAAAATAGCAATACATTTCAGAGCGGATCGAATACAACCTAAAAATGGCTCACATTTCTCTTCATTCGGCCCGGAGTGGTAACGTCGTCCACAGAAGAACTTGGTGCAATCTCGGAATACTTTGACTGCAACACATCACACGAACTGCTTCGCCTAGTATTCTTCCAAACTGGGGAATCTAGAACAACCAATGGGTCACTAAATGAAGGGGTGCTTTTATTGGAGCCAAATGACAATGTCATGATGACGAAATATCTCCAGTACAGTGCAATATTGCATTCCACAAAATTTGACGAGGTACTGCGGATTTTACACCCCTTTGCCAGTCTCAATGCATGAATGTGGCAGAAAAATGTGGCGAGGGATGGACGTTCCGCATTTGAAGTTCCTAGAGGTCATGTTCGAAACTGACCAAATTAAAAAAGAAATAAAGTTGCCTTGTAATGAC